TTTCATCTAATCATATATAAGCCGTCTATTTTATAAAGATGGTTAGATATAGGCCTCAAAAGGATTTTTTTATTCCCAAAATTTTTATATAGCGTTATCATCATTAGATTAAGGGAAAATTACACATATATCCCGTTATATTTTACATTATTACAGATGTACCGTATAGCTTCCGTCATTACATGTCTGTCCGTTTTTTACTTTTTATAACGCAACTTTTTAAAAAAGACGATTTTACCTTTTTTCGGGTGTTCAACATCTGAATTGAACGGTTTTTCAAATGTTCAACGTTTGAAAATAGCCGAAAGTTTAACGTTCACAGTCATATTTTCAGATGTTGAACATCCGAAAATGTGATATTTTCGGATGTCCAACATCCAAAAATAATTTCAGATGTTAAACATCCAAAAATAGCACATTTTTTGATGTTGAACATTCACAAATGTGCTTGTAAAAGAAACCTTTTGGAATTTCGCAGGCACATTTTCGGATGTTCAACATCCGAAAATGTCCACAAAATAATTTCAGATGTTGGACATCCTAAAATAACTACGGAATGTGAACGTTAAACTTTCAAGCTATTTTCGGATGTTGAACATATGAAAAACCCTTCAATTCAGTATTGAAGACCCAAAAAAAGGTAAAATCAACTTTTTAAAAAAATTACGTTATGCGAACAAACATATAATAACGAAAACTTTTTGATACATCCATAATAACGCAAAATACAATGGATATGCATGTAATTTTCTCTTAGATTAATAATGCTAAAACAAAAAAGAAAAAAAATGATTTTGAATTTGTTAAAGCCTAAATCTTGACATTCACCAAATGGATGGTCGAAATTCATTGTTGGATGGGTACTAATTCTGACCATATCTAGGATGCAAATTGAATTTGTTTTATCGTAGGATTGATTATGAAGCTGAAGAAAATGTGTGCGCAAAATTTGGGATCATACAAATGCCAGAAATATGGTTTTTCAAAGGTGTGGTTGCATTATACTATTATACAACCCTTGCATTAGATCATTTCCCTATATATATATATATATATATATATATATATATATATATAATATAGTATAA